CTGTCCTCGAGGCCACCAGCAAGAGAAAGGTCTCAGAAAATAAATGGGACTGTCAGTCCCGCAGTTTGTCCTCGAGGGCACCGGCCGCAGGGACGGCAGACGCTTCGGAAATGCTCCGCGTCACCGAGTCCCGCAGCCTGGCCTCGAGGTCACCTGCACAGAGAACGCCCTGGAAAAGCTCCGGGTCAGCAAGGAACGAGTTGCTGTGTGGGGGCTCCTCACAGCAGGGCTCGGTCCCGTCCTGGCCCGTTGCATGCACCGAGCACAGTGGCGTGGCCGCGTCACCGCCAGCACCTATGTCACAAGGTGTCACAAAGGGTCACCCTTGCACACACTGTCCCTTCCCATCCCACGGGGATCACGGTGCCCTGTGTCACAAAGAGCCCTAGGACACGCCTCCACGTGCCCTGGGGACACCCCCACCCCACCCAAACTGCCCCAGCTTGCAAGGAAGAGCAGCGTTTCCCGAGAGGCCTGCAGAGCAGCAGAGACCCAGAGATGGCACCGCAGCCCAGGAGGCCACAGGGCCCGCGCCTCTGTGCCCAGGCCAGGAGGAGGCTGGAGCCCCTGAGGTGCCAGGGTGCGGGGAGACAGCTGAGCCCCCTGCCATGGGGACAGCAGCGCCCAGGAGGCCTCACCTGTGCCACACGCCAGTTCTGATCATGGCAGTGGAAGAAGAGCGGGAGCAGGCTCTGGCTCACGTGCTTCTTCAGGGCCTTTTTCCCCTTTGCCACGACCGATTCCATCACCACTTGGTAGAGGCGAATGGAGAGCTGCTGCACAAGGCCGTTGTCCTGTCGGAAAGGAAGCAAAACTCCTCCGCATTAGCTGCTCCAGGCCCCCCTGCGCCCCGGCCCAAGGCAGCACCCAAGTGCCCGTGGCTGGGGGCACAGAGCCTTACATTGTCAAAGAGCGGCCAGAGCGCCGCAGCCAGCTGCAGGGCGATGGGGCTGGCTATGGCCAGGTCTTTGTGCAAGAGCAGAAAGCTGAGCACGATCATGGCCATCTCAACGACGTCTTCATCCGCATCCCGCAGTAGGTGCACAAGGCTTTCAGTCAGGCTGTACACGTTCTGATTCTGTGTGGAAAACAAGGCAGGGCAACCCCACACTGCTGTTGCTGCAGGGCCCAGAGGCCAAAGGCCTGTCCTGAAGCGCTCAGGCAGCTGAACAGCGAGCCTGGAGAGCCGCGAGCAGCTGCCACAGCTGCCAAAGGCCAGCCGAGGCCAAGGGGCTGCTTGTCCCAGCCCCACGCTGCCAGCACGGCTTCAGCGGCCGCCTCATTCTCACCAGTGAGGCGAGCACCACGAGGCCTCTGAGCGCCACGCGACGCATCTCCCTGCACTCGCTGTGCAGGTGCCTCGTCATGATCTCCAGCACGTTTGCACCGCATTCACTCAAGTCCAGGCAATCCAGGACCTGAAAGGCACAGAGCAGGGACAGGGGTGCCCGGCTGGCAGGAGCTCAGAAGTGCACAGGGCTGAGCCCAGGCAGCAGCACAGGGCACGGGCACCGTGCCAGGCAGCTGCGTCCCTGGGAGGGCAGGGGGCTGGCAGGCAGCTGAGCTCAGCAGCGCTGGCCATGGGGCTCACCTCCACGAAGAAGGCCAGGGCAGGCAGTTCCCAGTCTGAAATGTCTTCGCTGAGCAGGTCAAAGAGGCAGGAGGCGATGCTGCAACACCAGATGAAGGAGACACGGCGCATCTCCCTGGCGGGGAGAAAAAGGCACCATCACCCCCGAGCCGGGTGGGCAGACCTCTGCCAGGGCTGGCTGACACAGGTCTGGGCTTCTCCCGAGCTGCCCGAGGGCGCTTTGGAGGCGGCTGTTCCCGGACACCCTCCTCTCCCCTTCTTTTCCAGTCTGCTCGTCCCTCCCTTGGTGACAAGGCCCAGCCAGCCATGACCACGGGGACTGTGGGGGCTGTTGCAGGCACAGAGGAGAGGGGCGGTGGGGAGAAGGAGGTCTCACCTGGCCAGCAGACCCACTGCATAGTGGTGGGTGTCGGCACAGAGCAGCGTGTCCCAGGCACACTTGCGCTCCATTGCCACCACCACGTGCTCGTAGCGCATTCGGCAGAGCAGGGCCTTCAGGGTCTGCAGGGCAAAGCTGTGTGCAGAGCAAAGCCCAGGTGACGCTGGGAGCCCTGGCTCCGGCCCTGGGGGCATGGGAGGCATGGGGAGACGGGGAGGACTGGGCTGGAGCACCTGTTGGGGTTGGCAGCGAGGCCGTGTTGCTCCTGGCAACCCGTCCAGAAGGTATCAACCTCTTCTGGCATATCCTGCGTGCTGATGTAAGCTTGGAAGAGCAGACGCAGGAAGAGACTGGGGAAATACTCCAGCACTACAGGTGGGCACCCCGTCAGATTGAAGACTTGCCACAGTGTCATGGTTGCCTGCAAGAAAGGAAACCCCCAGACACAACGCTCAGTGCCAGGACATGCACGTGGCAGGGCCCGAGCGTGCGAGGGAGAGGCCGGGGAGACACAGAGGGAGCACCTGGCCTGGTGCCCCTGAACCCTGCCCCTAAGCCAGCTTTCAGTCCAGTGCCTGAGGCAGGGAGATGCGGCTGTGGGGGGAGCACAGAGAGCTGGCTGCTGGAGAGGTGGCCTGGGGGCTGGCCAAGGCCGGTTGCAGACACTCACAGCCAGGGCAAAGACTCCTGTGTCGTCCCCATCGGAGGTGTACAGGCTGTGCACTGGCCAGGCGCTCAGCACATCGAGGAGGATCTGCAGCGCCGGCTCCGCAGTCCTGCTCGAGGACATGATCGTCGCCCACATGGTCACGGCAGCTCTGCGGGGTCACAGCTTTGTGTCAGGGGGAGCTCGGCCCCAGCACCGTGGCCTGGGCAGCTGCAGGGGCCC